ATGGTGCAAGTGCAAAGGGGTCCCTACCTAAAAAGTTCAAGTGTTTGGAGAGTAAAATTGATTTTTAAAAATTAATAAAAACAAAAATAATGAAATAAAATAAAATAAAAATAAATAAAAAAAACAGCTGTGTTTTCCCGCTAATGGTGACTATAGGAGATTCCTCTCCAATTTTCTGTAGTAATTACACGTTATCTAGACTTGTACTGTGACAAATTAACTGAAGTGTTGTTGATAGACATTGATGTGTATGCATAAATGTTTGTTTTCGCCTCTAAATGTTAAGGGAGGTACCTGATAGGGTTACTGGACCAGTAAAGACGCATGGACCAGTAAAGACGCATGGACCAGTAAAGACGCATGGACCAGTAAAGACGCATTGGACCAGTAAGAGGGCATGGACCAGTGAAGATGCAGGGACAGAAAAGAGCATGGACCAGTAAAGACGCATGGACCAGTAAAGATGCATGGACCAGTAAAGACGCATGGACCAGTAAAGACGCATGGACCAGTAAAGACGCATGGACCAGTAAAGACGCATGGATCAGTAAAGACGCATGGACCAGTGAAGACGCATGGACCAGTAAAGACACATGGACCAGTAAAGACACATGGACCAGTAAAGACACATGGACCAGTAAAGACGCATGGACCAGTAAAGACACATGGACCAGTAAAGACACATGGACCAGTAAAGACACATGGACCAGTAAAGACACATGGACCAGTAAAGACGCATGGACCAGTAAAGACGCATGGACCAGTAAAGACGCATGGACCAGTAAAGACACATGGACCAGTAAAGACGCATGGACCAGTAAAGACGCATGGACCAGTAAAGACGCATTTTTGGTAAAAATACTATAAAGAAAAACCTAAAAACGCAAACTGACTTCCGTTTGTAGGTTTTAAAAGCACTTTGTCCTATCTTTAAGTCTATCATTTCAATAACAGATCTCAATTGATTGATGTTCTACATCACTTCCGTCGCAAATGCTTAGTTTTCAAGTTGCGACGGAAGTGATGTAGAACATCAATTAATTTACTACATATTTCCCCAGAAACACATAAGCCCACATCAGAAAATCGTTGGTTGGGTGAAACTGAAAATTGTCCCTGCATTCTTTAATTCTCACGTCCTTATCTATGGTGGTAGGCCTATATCATGCAAAACATAATGATTAGTTTAGTTATCAAAATGGTAATATAAATACCATTGTGCATTGTTCTTGGACTCAGTATGATTTCTGTTTAAGTAAATTGGAGATCAAGGAGGATGAATTAGTAAAATATTCGTAGCCCAAATTACTAAACATAATCATGGTAAAAGTTCTGTATATGACTCCTTTCTGGTAACGTTTTGAATTTTTAGATGCGCAGCCAGAGGAAAGGGGGCTACAAGGGCCATATCCCCACAATTGACAGAAAAAAAAAATTAATAATAATTAAAAAATTAATAATAATTGATAATGAAAATTTGTATTTGCATGATTACAGACAGTGAACATCCTCATTATGGCATCTCGTGAACGTGATGTTGCACGTTCTTATGTGAGTGGGTCACAGAAAAGAAAGATGTAGGAAGCTGCAGAAAGATCACAGACATGCTCACGAAAATATTTTCTGATGTTACCGTTTACAGTTGAATCTGCAGTTTACGTCAGATCATACAGGAAGCCCTCCCTCCATTATTTCTCAGCCAGCATCTACTTCTTTTGTGTCTTCCTCTCAATGTCTAACGGACATTTCATCCACGGATTTGTCTTAAAAGATCCTGCCTCATGGCCAAATGTAATCCCAGATTCTTCTACGTAATGCTTTCTTTGCAGAAAACTTCAGCCAAACTCTGAACATTGACTTTAGAAGGAAATCAGCAAGGATTTATGATGATGGAAGTTCTTTCGTTTTTAAAGTCATCTATGTTTTATAGGAAGCTTGCAAATTTAGAAACTGTGAAAAATCATAGATGGTATAAATCTGAAAGCTCAGGAAAAGTGTATGTTCAGCATACAAGATATTTTCCCACCAAGAAAATACCTTCGCACAGGGGTTCAATACTGGAAAAATTCCAAGCGTTTCGAGGAACATGAAAACAGCACCACCACAGGAGCTGCATTTTAGCAGTGTATTTCGTGCACAGAAAAAAGGCTTATTGGATTCTCAATTTGGAAAATCAAACTGAAAAAGAGCACACTTATTGGGAGAAAAGTTCTAGAAAGAGTTGTTGCTGTTGTAAATTCTTAGCCTAAGAGGACTTGCTTTCCGTGGAGAAAATGAGGTTTTTGGTTCGGAAAACAATGGTAATTTCCTAGGGATCAAAAGAACTGTTAGCACAATTTTGATCCATTCTTAGCAAAACATGTGTCATGCCTTGGAATGCAGGAAGAGGCACTGTATTTACATGTCATCTACTATATGCAATGAATTTATTGAACTGATGACTAAGAAGGTCCTCAATAACATCATAGCAGCTGTGAAAAATGCAAAATACTTTGCAATAAGTGTAGATTCAACACCCGATATTTCACATACAGATCAATTGACATTCATTGTTCGCTTTGTCGACTCCAGTGGGAAGCATGTGAGCGCTTATAAAATTCATTCCTCTTTCAGGCCATGATGAGAAACAATGATGAATGTAGTACGGATACTCTGCTTGAACATGATCTCTCTATTATGGATTGCCGTGGCCAGAGCTACGACAATGCAAGTAACATGTCGGGTAAATATAATGGATTGCAAGCCGTATCAAGCAAATCAACCCCCTTGCTGAATATGTGCCCTGCTCAGCACATTCTCTTAATCTTGTTGGGTCATGTGCTGCGGAGTGTTGTGTCGCTGAAGTTTCATTTTTTTGGACTTTTACAAGCACTCTTTAATTTTTTCTCTGCTTCAAAGCATCGGGGAGTATACTCAAGTCAACCATTCATGGAGATGTCATCAAATCATTATCAACAACAAGGTGGTCAGCGCAGCATGATGCAACACATGCTTTGAAAGACAGCTTTGCTGAAATACTTTCTGCTTTGAAACCAAATAGCAGAGGATGAAAACCAGACAGCAACTACAAGAAGCGAAGCAGCCAGCTTAGCATCAAAATTAGAAGATTTTGAATTGGCCTTACTCTGTGTGCTTTGGGACTGTATACTGGAACGGTTAAATGCCACGAACAAGACACTTTAGAAAATTGAAACTGAAATGGCTACTTGTGCTAACCCCTAGCAGGCTTAGTGGAATTTGTAAGCTCACTTTGCAATGAAGAAGCTTTTGAAATGTTTGAAGAGAAAGCTAAACTGTTGGTGAAAGACTACAGTTACCGGGCTGATCATCAGCGGTCAAGGAAGAGGGGAAAACCCAATTTTGAAGAGCCAGACAATGAAATTGTGTTGCTACCAAGGCAGAAATGTAAGACAGCTACATACTTCGTCATTCTGGATTCACTGATTACAGAATTGGTGAAAAGAAAAGAAATCTACCAGAATCTCAATGACAAGTTTGGATTTCTGTTCAAAATTATTACTATGCCAGATGCAGAATTGAGAGAAGCTGCATTAAAGTTGCAACAACACCTTTCAGCAGATGTTCAGGACACATTAAAAGCTCCACCTGAAAAATGTGCGCCCTCGGCTGCTTTGTAACATTTAAGAAATGCAGGTATCTCAGAAACCTTCCCTAATGTTGACATAGTGTATCAGAAACCTTCCCTAATGTTGACATAGTGTATCGAAAAACCCTTCCCTAATGTTGCATAGTGTATCAGAACCTTCCCTAATGTTGACATAGTGTATCAGAAACCTTCCCTAATGTTGACATAGTGTATCAGAAACCTTCCCTAATGTTGACATAGTGTATCAGAAACCTTCCCTAATGTTGACATAGTGTATCAGAAACCTTCCCTAATGTTGACAATAGTTATCAGAAACCTTCCCTAATGTTGACTAGTGTATCGAAAAACCCTTTCCCCAATGTTGACATAGTGTATCAGAAACCTTCCCTAATGTTGACATAGTTTTATCAGAAACCTTCCCCAATGTTGACATAGTGATCAGAAACCTTCAAATGTTGACATAGTGTCTCAGAAACCTTCCATAATGTTGACATAGTGTATCAGAAACCTTCCCTAATGTTGACATAGTGTATCACCTTTACCTAACACTTCCAGCTACTAACTGTGAAGGAGAACGTTCATTTTCTGTTTTGAAAAGAGTGAAAAACCAGCTCCGTTCAACAATGAGCCAAGACAAATTGTGTAACCTAGCCTTGTTGACCATTGAGTCTGATCTAACAAGAAATATTGATTTTCAGAATATAATTGATGATTTTGCCAACATGAAATCCAGAAAAAAGTTTATTTAAGAAGTGCCTGTGAATATAAACAATTCTTAACTTTCTTGAGTTATGCATGATGCAATGATAACAATAATGGTCAGTGATTTATAAAGGGAATAATAGTGCTGTAGTGGTTATGCTGAATATAATAGGTACATGATGTCACTACTTTAATAGCCTAATCTAGTAATACTATGCTGTCTTGAGTTTATTCTCTTTAAAATGCATGATTTAACAAGATAGTTATAATGGCTGTTGGTAAATGGTTTTGGTTGTCTTGATGTACTTTCCCTATTAAATTTAATCTAAATAGCCAGAATGTATTTAATTAGACCTTAAACAGGCTCACACCGACCCCCGCCCCCCCAAGCTGGAAGGGGTCGCTTCGCTTACCCGTAACTCAAAGGGGCCCCGCCAATCTGAATAGCCTAGGGCCCGGAGACTTCTTAATCTGGCCCTGGGTATAATATGGTCTATGATGCCAGAAAGTTAAGACCGTTCCTGAATATATGACATGGGGCCAAGAGCCGAAACTCGACCCCCACAACTAGGCAAGAGCCAGGACTCAACTCTGCAGCCACAACAAGGTGAGCAATCAAGGACACTGACAGGTTAAGTGTACATATATGAATAATTGTAAAAAATACCACAAATCTTCATGTGAAGACATGATTTTATTTTTTCACTGTGGTATTTATTTTGCATATTTACAATCACACAGCCGGACTGTGGTTCGTATGTTGGATTACGTGCGGCCAGCAGTAACAGCCTGGTTGATCAGGCCCTGATCCACCATGAGGCCTGGTCACAGACTGGGCCGCGGGGGCGTTGACCCCCGGAACTTTCTCCAGGTAAACTGATTTCTTCCATGTAGTGAGTACTCACCCATGTGAAGCCGATACAGCCGATAGCGTCACTAAGCATGTCAGCTAAGATAGCTGGGTAGCTGTTTCCAGCAGCGAAGTAGGCGTGGAAGTGAGGGGAGTGCCAGTGAGTCACCTGAGGGAAGATAGTAAGTCACGTGAGGGTAAATACAGCACCAGGTGGATCACCTGAGGGGAGACAGTAAGGCATTATTATTATAATCTTGAGGAAGCGCTAAACCCCGTAGGATTATACAGCGCCTGGGGGGGGGTAATGGAAGGTATTCAGGCATAATTCAGGGAACTGAAGCACCAATCCAATTCTCTAGATCAAGAGCCTCTCACCAGCGTCAAGGAACTTCCCTTGACTGGAGACAGCAATGCAGACGTCCCTCGTAATCAACATTGGGTAACAATGTTAGCTCTTTTTTTTTGGTACATATTTTTATACTTCAGATTATGTCCTCGTATTAATAAAGTCACTGGATGGTGAAACGTCTACAAACTGGTTAGATTTGGCTTAGAGACGTTAATCTAAGCTAACCTAAATAACGTATAAGGGAACATTTTCTTAAATCTGTTAGAAACTGATATCTAGTTTGCCTTAGAAGGATGAACTTAGCAGTAAGCGGAGAGGCAGTACATCACTGGAGTGGGAAATATTGAATCATTTTAGAGAAACAGTGTTGTGTGTATCAGAACTACAATATATAATTTTGGAGGGGGTAAGCCAGTGGAAGGCTTCGGTCAGATGACCAAAAGCTCCAGCTGTGGGTCATCATAAGACCCGTCTCAAGAAGCACTTATCCTGTTTCCTGACAAACCTAACCAGTGTTTTGTAGTGTTTGAAAGACAAGTGTTGTCACATACCCCAGGCATGATGACTCTCTCAATATCAGCCATAACATCACTCCACTCATCAGGGGTGTCAGGAGCTTGTGCTGGCAACAGTGGTCGTTGATACCCAGGTTCCATTCTGGTAACACTCTCCCTTTTTTGGTTTT